AATAGGAAAGCAACCGGTCCAGATGAAATTCCAAGCGAAATAATCAAACTACTCAACGTAAGGGTAATCATTCTCTTCTAAGCTTCTTCAATAAAATATACGAAACAGGACATATACCAACAGACTGACTACTATCAACATTTGTAATGAAACCAAAAAAAAATAAATGCCAAACAGTGTAACGATCATTACACTATCAGTCTAATGAGTCATGTACTGAAAGTTTTTCTAAGAATACTGCACTCGAGAATGTACAACAAAATAGAAGTACAACTAAGTGAAACACAATTTGGTTTCAGAAACAACCTTGGAACCAGAGAAACACTCTTCAGTTTGTAGGTCATGGTTCAAAGATGTAGGGATATCGAACAATCGGTATATATGTATTTTATCGACTTCGAAAAGGCCTTTGACTGAGTAAACCATGACAAACTTATAGATGTCTTTCAACAGGTGGGAATTGATAAGCGAGACCTCCGTATTAACACCAATTTGTATTGGCATCAATGTGCAAACATACGGATTGGATACAACACGACGGAAGCAGTGGAAATACGACGTGGAGTGAGGCAAGGATGTATTCTATGATCTCTACTTTTTAATATCTTATTGTCTCCATCGACACTGACATCGATCACATTATCTGACACGGTACTTATTGCCTCCAATGAAGAAGACCTGCAACTACTTATAAACAAGGTAACCGAAGCATATGATGAATATGGGCTAAAACTTAATACTTCCAAGACAAAACTTTTGGTTGTTAGCAAAACGGAGTTACAACTAACGAACATCAGAGCGTATGGAATAGTTAGAAACTATTAGTTAGAATAGTATTACCTATTTTGCGCAAACGTTAACGATAACTAGAATATAAATAAAGAAATCAGAATACGCATTGAAAAAGATTACGTTTCTTCTTACGGTGCCTTATCCTTAAGGACGTTGGCCATTACATTTGCCTATTTAATCTTATTTGTAGCAGCCCTGAATAGTTCTATGGAGGTCATGCCTTTGCCTTCGATTATAAGTTGGAGCAGTTCATACTTCTGATTTCTTATGATGTGACCAAAATATTGTGTTTTCCGTTCTTTTATTATAAGCATAAGCTCTTTCCTTATTCATCCTCCGCAAGACTTCCGCATTTGTCGTATGGCTCATGTAGGATATTTTGAGCATTTTACGGTAACACCAGAGTTCGAATGCTTGGATTCTGGTTTGTGTTGCTTCTGTCATTGTCCAGGCTTCAACACCATAGAGCAAGGTGGAGAAAACATAGCACTTAAGTATTCTAGTTCTCAATGAGATGCCCAGCTGGCGGTTGCATAGAACTTTTTGCATTTTGTAAAACATTGTACGTGCCTTTTCCAGGCGTATTCTTATCTCTAGTGAGTGGTCCCAAGTTTCATCAAGATTACTTAAAAGGTACGTTGTTCTTGTTACTCTTTCCAGATCTGTTCCGTCGACATTGACCTTCACCCTTCTGTTTTGGTGCTTGCTGATGACCATCGTTTTTGTCTTCTTTGTATTCAATTTCATTCCAAATTATCTACAGGCTGTCGTTACTCGGTCCATTAAGCGTTGCAGGGCTTCAGCATTATCTGCCAGTAAGACAGTGTCATCAGCATATCGCAGGTTATTTATACATTGCCCGTTTATAATTATACCATCCGAGGTGCCTTCCAAAGCTTTCTGAAATATCTTCTCAGAGTGAACATTGAACAGCAAAGGTGATAGGGCACATCCCTGTCTTACTCCCTTCTCGATATTGATTGTTCCAGATGTTTCGCTTTTTATTCTGATTTTAGCCTTTTGTTCTTGGTAGAGGTTTGAAATGATCCTTAAGTCTTTATCGCCGATATTACATGACCTTAAAATATCTATTAGTTTATCATGTTTCACCAGGTCAAACGCCTTCTGAAAGTCTATAAAACACAAGTATACATCAGAATCGACATCTCTACATCTTTCAACTAGCACACGTATTAAAAAAAGTGCTTCTCTTGTTCCGAACCCATTCTTAAAACCAAACTGAGTTTGACCAGTGTGTTCGTCTAGTTTATTGTATTACTCGTAGGAAAAGCTTCAACATATGATTCATCAGGCTAATAATCCTATGGTCTTTACATTTCTTTGAGTTTCTCTTCTTTGGTAGTGGTATAAACACCGATGTGAGCCAATCATTTGGTATTATGCCTGTTTCGTATATTTTGTTAAATATATCTTTCATTACTTCGATGTGTTCGTCTAGTAATATCTTTATTATTTCAATTGGGATATTATCTTTCCCAACAGCTTATCCGTTCTTTAACTGATTTGCCGCTTTGATAATTTCTTGCTTTGTGATATAAGGTCCAGTCGATGCCTCCTGCATGTAAATGTTCGTCCTTTCTCGCTCTTGAAACATCTCTTCCACGTATTCTCTCTATCTACCTATTTGATGTACCTTTGTTTACCTATGTATTTCTTCCCGTATTTTATTACTAGTGAATTCTTCTTTAAGCTTATCTGGGTTAATAGCTATTATTTGCTTATTTCTTTTTGTTCTTTTAAATTTTATCCTAATTGTTGCAAGAAGAAGATTGTGATCGGTGGGCATGCTTTTACTGCGTTTTTTTATCTTTTGTTGACCATTATGTAATCGTTTTGATTTCTTGTAATACGTCCTTGTATTCCATCTGCTAGAGATTTCCACGTGTAGAGACGTCTGGGTGGTAACTTGAAAAAGCTGTTCATTATACTGTACTGATTTTCTTTACAGAACTGAATCAGTCTATCTCCCCTTTCATTTCTTATTCCGAAACCAAACTCCCCCATCGTGTCATCTTCTCTTCCTTTTCCAATCTTGGCGTTAAAATCTCCTAATATTATGTTGGTTTCATGCTTCTTTGTCTGCAGTAGAGTTTTGTTTAGGTCTTCGTAGAATTGTTTTATTTCTTCTTCTGTGCTTTGACTAGTTGGGGCATATACCTGGATAATATTCATATTGACTGGTTTGCTGTCTATTTCTACAGATTTTAAGATTACGTTAAACCTTAAAATCAGATTAATACGCTGCTAAATATTCTGCACATTGTTGTATGGTATGGAGAATCGGACATTTACAGAGACATTAATGAAAAAATTGGAGGCCTTTGAGATGTGGATTTATCGACGAGTATTGCGGATCAGTTGAATTGACCGAATAAGAAATATGAGATAGTTTTACATCGAATGAAAAATAGCACAGAAATAACAAAAACGATAAAAATTCGAAAGTTACAATATTTAGGTCATGTAATGAGAGATCCAGAGAGGTATAACCTTCTACACCTCATAATACAGGGTAATATCTACAGAAGGAGAGGCCCAGGCCGAAAAAGAACATCCTCTCTCTGAAATCCACGAGAATGGTATCAAGAGACCACCACTTATTTATTTAGAGCCGCCGTAAACAAAGTTTTTATTACCAATATGATTGCCAATGTTCAATAATCGAACAGGGTACTGAAAGAACAAGAAGAAGCTAACAAGAAAAATGGAGGGAAGTTTGCATAATGTCATCCAGACTGCACAGGAGTAACAGACCTAATAATATCGCTAGAAATATTGTGTTAGCAACGCAAGGAAGGTTTGCACTCCAAGAGAAATTACATGGTTAGTAAATTAAAAAGAATAGACTTTAATTGTTAGAGACACTTAAGGCAAACAATGTGAATAGTGGCATAGTGAAAAATATATGTATTTTAGGAAAAAATGTTTGCTGTTTGAATGTATGTAACATAAAATTTTGAATAAACTAGAAAACGTAGATTATTTTATTAGTTGTATTAAATGTTTTAAAAACTTTTACTGTACGCTTTAAAGACTTACTATATAGTTTAATGTATTTTTAGAGTACAAAATAATAAGCTATTATTTTTGTTTTTATTTAAAAAAGCATAACTTTACAGATTTATCATTTTTATCAATCAGTAAGTTAAGGAATATTATTCTAATTGTCCATACCCCAAAATAGTTTAGTAACTTTTATTTGCCAATCTTTTTAAACTGTAGGCTTAGCAAGTAACCGACAAAGAGCTCCTGTAAATATTTAATATAAAAAAAATAGAAATAACTTTCCAGAAACTAAAGATATAAGCTGAAAAATCAAACACATAAATTGAGGTCCGCAGTGAAACGCGATAAAAACATCGATATAGAATTATTTAAAGGCTCAAACAGCTTAATAAGAACAATATATCTGATTTCTGACAGTCAGATATGATTTACATGAGTTAGTCTTAAAAAAAGTCTTCCTAACTTAACGTAAATCTAGACCTCACTTAGAAGTCACCACGCCACGATATTAAAAATTGAGGCTGCTGATCGTCTGGTTAAACTTATAACGTATCACGTCTTCCAAGCGGTCCCCAACCATTTATTGTAGTAAATTTGACTGACTAATAGTCGCCTCATTATGATCGTTTGAAATTAAATTTACTCTCGACAAATTTAATATTACAAAAATATAAATTTCACCTCCGCGCTGGTGTGCGGCGAAAAAAGAAACATCTTGCAGGTGTTTCGTTATCGGTACTATATAAAATCGGACGACATCCAGATTTCGTTAGCGTTCTTCCGGCATGTAAGGCTTTGACGGAAGTGATCATCGATTCCTAGCTTCTAATGGTACTGGGCCGAAAACAAATAAACAATGCAAACAAGGAATAGCAACATCACAGCCTCAGTCATCTGCATATGTGAAACTAGATCCTTGTACAGGTCACACTATTTATAAGATGAAAAGGAATTACCACAAAAATAGTAAAAACCACGGGGTCCAAAAATGAAAGACGAATATGTACTCTCATTGCAATTGAAAAATCTATATCCTTCATTATCTAAATTCGATTGTCTTTATCTCTCTTTGTCAGTTACTGCTCTCCTATTTATTATATATGATCTGTTTAAACCAATGTCTTTTCCCCATATATCTATACACTTAAATATATTACACCCCAATCCCTTAGGATACTTACCGGTTATTGAACAAAGCAGCCTTAGGGTAGGAGCTGATCCGGAATACTGGTTGATCATTCCTTGTGAATGGGCTCTGGGTGCGGGCATACTCAACGTGATGGCCTTGTGGAATTTTCTTCTTCTCGGCTCAACGGTCACGACCGGAGAGACGGCAACGCCGTGTCCGAGAAGTTTTGCTGTTAGTTCTGGATCTATTGGTTGGGCCTGAAGAGAAACAGGAGACGTGAAGTACGGTTGGTTTTGTTTTTGTGTACGATTTAAAAATTAAATATCTCAAAACTGTATGTAAATGTGTTTTAAAATGTACTGCCTACTAAATAAAATAGTTTTAGGTATTTTGATTGAAGATAAACGATTTTGTTACAATCAGTAATGTATTCTTACGGGCTTGCCGCCAAAATTTTACACTTTCATCATATTTCTTTTCTACAACCGTGTTCATTAATTTTACAATCAGTACATAATGTTTATAATCTACATGCTAGGGGGGTTTGAGTATGCACTTTTATGTCCCTTCGGTAACTTGATGTTATTTTTATGTTTTTTTGTCCGTAGATTCGATTCTTCGAGTGGACCAGGCTAAAAACCGGTCAGATAATTTGTTATTAATAATTTAATTGTTTAAATAATTCTATCTCCTAAACTATTAGAAATATTTAGTTTCACCAAAATGAAAATTGTTTCCATTTTGGTTAAAAAAGTTTTGAAAAAAAAAATGAATAAAATGGCTTTTGATAAACTTTAAAATATACGATTGTTAAAACCGGGGTTATGACAAATTTCTTAAAAAACAATTGCAAATTAAGTATTTGGTATTCAACGGGGCTTTTTCACGTTTAACTCAGCTTTCATACCTGCAATTAAGTATACACCTACATTGGAACCGTATTTCTCCCGATCCGATATCTGGCGACGTCGGCCGACGTCGAATTAAAAACAAACTCAAGGTATTAAATCAGAGTGCCTATACTGCTTCGTGATGGAAGCAGTATAGGCACTATGATTTAATACCTTGATTTTGTTTTCAATCCGACGTTGTGTGTACACTAACATTCAAACTCTTGTTACGATAATTATGGCGTTTATAACTATCAATATATTATGACTAATTCTGTTTTCTGTTCCAGTAAATTCGAAGTTGTTTACAGAAACCCTTAGACCCCAATTTTATGAGTAATCCACGTCTCGAGGCTTTTCAAACAGTTGAAAAACGAGTCGAGCGCCTTCACCAAAATACGAGATTATTCAAGAAGTTCCATTATAATGTAGAAGGTCGCCGAACTTTCGAGATGACAACAGTTGTGTATATAAACGAAAGATTTTTTTATTTGGCAGTCAGTCATAAGAAGATCGGGAAACGCGATTTACTTGTAACGAAACGTAACAAATAAATTTGTATTTAATAAGCTATTTAATAAATTAGTAATTAGTTATCGTGAGTTTTAATAAATTAGAATATAGACAATAAATTAGAATAAAGACAAATAAATTAGAACAATATAAAGATATAACACTCTCCTCATTACAAATGTAGGAGAGAGTGGTACACATTGACACGTAGTACACAATAAAATATCACCATCATTTTGGCTACAACCCTGTGTAGGTCCTAGCCTCCCCAAGAATTTTTTTCCAGTCGTCCCTATCCATCGCCTTCCTTCGCCAAGCACGTATTTCCATATTTCTCATATCTTAGTCTATGTTATCTAGGAATCTTGTTCTGGGTCTTCCTCTTCTTCTTTCACCAATAGGTCTATCAAGGAACGTTTTTCTAGCTGGGTCTGGTTCTAAGATGTTTTCATTGCTTTTTGTTAAAGTCCAAGTTTCTGAACAATATGTTAGGACTGGGCGTATGATTGTTTTGTAGAGTTTTACTTTTATATTTCTTGATATAACTGTAGATTTAAAAAGGAGATTAAGCCCAAAATAGCATCTATTCTCATGCTCCAGCGATCGATACTCGCAAAAGTTCCAACACGACGCCTGCATCAAAACCACTCAAGAAAACAGCGGAGAGAAGCATCGGATGTTAGCACACTAAACTAACATGCCGATATCCACCTTCTGCAGCCCTGAAACCGTCGATGTGCACATATCTTCGACGAGCCAGCCTACTTGATTCTAAGTACCGGATGCGATGGATGTCCCGGAGTAGCCAGTCACTGCCTGCCCTACCATTATGTGGTCCAGAGTCACCACGGAGGCCTCAGGCAAACTCGCCTACGGAACACCGGTGACAAGCAGAAGGGAAACGAACAGCTAGAGAGAACGAAGCCGCCGTAGCACGAGCACATCACAGAAGATGGACCTGCAGATGCTGTCACCACCACCGACCACCGCCTGTGAGTGTTTTGTGCAGTGTAGTGCTACGCGAGTGTAGTGAGTGTAATAGAGAACTGTAGGTAAATATGACAATATGGACATATTCATTTTTAATCTATTTTATGCATTTTTTCTTTGCTATACTTGAATTGTAAAAAAATTGTTTTTCTTAAGTTTTTTAATAAAATCAGCTTTTTTATCAGCCTCAGAGTCTCCAAAGCAGGAGGGATGTCATCAGGTCCCACCAATCACGCACCTCGATGTGCATCGGCCTTCCTTCTGAAACATTTTCATTTTCGGATCTCGAGTCAGTGCGGTTTTACCCTTAGCAGGTAGCCCTAGAGCTCCTCACTTGAAGGTCTCTGCAAATCTTTCTAAGACTCTGAAACTGAGTTTTTTTCTTACTCAGAAACCTGTGTTTGATTTCAACAAGTAAATAAACCTACAAGCATTGTCTTTTTAAGACAATGCCACACATAAGAGCGTTTCGGACTAACTTCGCAATATTGCACAATATTGCGCAATGTTAGACAAATTAATACCTATGGGAATTTGTACCAAGTTGCAGTCGACTTTTCCACGGGTTATTAATTACACCGAAGACGACAAGCATATGCTAGGATTTGCACAGATTTGTGATATATTGAACCGGTAGTTGTGATTTGTGACATACGTATTACTTTTTCCAGAACTAGATTGAATAGTATACAGGAGAGTGGGTCTCCCTGACGTAGCCCGTTATTTATTTTAAAAGGTTCAGAGAGTTCCCCCTGGATTCGTACTCTGCATTCAACTTTTTCAAGGGTTAGTTTGATTAGACTTACCAACTGATTTGGTACTCCTAGATTTATCATTGCTCTAAATAATTCTCTTCTATTTACAGAGTCGTAGGCTGCCTTGTAGTCTATAAATATGTGGTGCGTGTCTACACCGTATTTAAGTGTTTTCTCTGTACACAATAAAACACTCTTCACAATAAAACACTGTAATTAAATAAATCAAATTTGACGTCAGATTGCCACTAGCGCTGCTAGCAGATTTTCTATTATGGTCGGTCACTGAGAGACAGATTGATGATTTTGAAAACTATGACGGACAAAAAGCTAGGGTTGTTAAGTTGGGGTAGCTAAGAGATTCTACCCATCACAAAGAAAATGCATCTGTATCTTCATTTTCTACTTTATTTCATACAACCCAAGAATTTGAACCGAACTTAACTCTTGAAATATCTTCGATATAAAAAAGTCCTTTTATAACCCCATTTGACATGCTGGGTTTTCCAAACGGAAAACTCAGCGCAAACGGAAGCCAAGTTCGCAAACGGAAAAAATTCAAATTGTAGACCTTGTGTCATTTTAAGTAGTACACCAGAAATGAAAGACCTTTCTTATAAAACGGAAGATAAGAAAACCCCCGCAACAGCAGCAGTCAAGAAAGTGCACCAAAATATTTGTAAAGCTTTAAGCACAAAAGGCTATAAAAGGACCCTTTCAGAAAAAAGACCAAGCCAGGTGAAGGTGATTTAGAAACGGATTCCGGAAGTTTATAGTTAGCCGACTCTTTAGATGATGAATTAAGTTCTCCTATGACGTAGGAACAAAAGGATCACTCAGAATCTTACGCAACTGCTAAAAATACTAAAATTTTAAAAGACTCTTTTATGTTAGTGAAGTGTGAGAAAACATCCATTAGGTAGCCAAAATTTTGGAAATTGTGAAATCTTATTTAAAATTTTATATTTGAGAAGAAGTACAAAAGTTTACAATCCATTTTACTTTCCATATGCTCCTGATATTCATATCTGGAATCTAAAATCTGATTTTGTTATGTTATTGCCAGCACCTAGATATACAGAAAACAAACGATAATCTTGCCATTATACATTTGGTTTTAAGTTAAACACTTCTATTGTACGGTAACTTAAAGAAATAATAAATATTTTTTGAGTAATTCATTGTTTTAACACGTTTTATTGTGTGATACCTTATGTTTGAAACACTGTACCACCGGTGGTACATATTGAAACAAATTCAATATTGGATATTTCTGAAAATTTCTTAAAGTTTCTCAAAGTTGCTATTTATACTTTACTCATAATAACTATCAAATTTTATAAACAAATGTACAAAGATAACAGAACTCTAAATGGAGATTGTTTCCAAGATTGCATTCCGATGTTAAAAGACATTTCCTAAAAAATGTGTCATTGTGTACCAGTCTCCACTAATTCTTTCAGTTTTACAAAAACTTAATTTGTTTATAAGATATTTATACAAAATTAAGCTATATACTTTAAAAATCTCGCTAATGGAAATTATAGAACAACTTAAAACTGACATTTTAAGCTTTGGTAAATGTTTCTATTTGAGGTTTTGATCAAGAAATGAAACTTTTAATAACGCTCTCTGAGGCGCTGTTCAGCTAGCTCCTAATAAAAACCAATATATACGTAAAATTTTGGTAGATTCATTGTTACCATCTTCATTGGCTCGACAATACTCTGTGGATCCTGGCCTAAGATTGGTCGCCATTCTGTTCGGTTTCAACTCCGTCTACACACTTAATTCGCGGTCATCTTCTGCTTCTTCTTCCTATAGGTGTTCCTGTCGTTAGCTTTTTAGCAATCATGTTGTCAGGTATTCGTATTATGTGTTCGGCCCATTTAAATCGCTGTGTTTTAATAAAAAACAAAATACCACTGAATAACTTTCCTCGGAAATTTGAAGATACGACTCTTCACAATTTTTACTCTTAGAGTGGTTAGTAATGTCAAATAATTGTTCCCACTGTTCTGTCCTTGTATAAAAATAAATCATGATTACTTCTTGGCAGTCACGAAAAACTGCAAATCACAACTTTTTGAGCAGATTTTTAAACTCAAA